GTCGATGCCTGCCAGATGGGGACACTGTTTTCACAGTAATACGTGTGCTTGGTGTTGAGTCACAGGAGCTTTATAAACCTCCTCTGACTTCATGTGAATTGTTTGCACAAGAGAAGTTTCCCGGAGTGGGGAAGTGAGTGAGTTTGAAGTTCTGGAGTGAAGATGAAGTGCTGAGACTGCTTCTGCACTCAAACCCTTTCCTCCAGTGAGGATCCCTGCTGGCAGTGACTGCTGGGATGCTTCAGGTGTGCCGATGAAGTCTGATAGGGGGTTGGGAGGAAATGGAAGAGACAAGTTCTTGTGAGCCTTTAGACTGTGCTGTGCTTGGAGGACTTACCTGCAATCAAAGAGGCCAAGCTCAGTCCTGAACTGCTGACTGGCCAGAGGCAGGTATCACCTGCTTGCTTTCCCGAGTGCTGAACCCCTTTGCTGCAGATGGGCGTCTCAAATGTCTGCCTTTTGGGTGGATTTAATCGGGATGAGGCTGTTCTGGCAAGGTACACCAAGAAGTGCCTGGTCTCCAAATCCCACTTTGGTTTGTGGTAGGGTTGGAGCAGCATAGTTAATGCCGAATGCCCTTAGTGCGCTGCTACACACTGCAGGAATGAAGCAGATGCCTCGAGGTGAGACGGTAGCTGAGCTTGGAGGATGTTAGTGTCACTGCAGGGTAACTAGAGGAGTAACTTTGAAGGCTGCCAAAGACGAGATTGGGAGTGCAAGAATAAAAGCTGCCTCGGAAGGGCAGGCCATAAGGAATTTTGGGTTGAAGGCAGATGGACGTTCAGCTATCCATTGTTACCTGGTTAAGTTTAGGCTATGCTGAGAGTCTACTTGATTCTGTTGCATCCTTTTACAGCTGCTGGCTTTTAATCCTTGTTCTGTGGAGCTCTGCAGGGACTTCCAGGTTTCTTCCTGCTTTTCTCTCTGCAGAAACTCTCAAATCTAGATTTGATTAGCTGTAAGATGGAGATCCTATCATATCCTGATGAAAACAATTGGACTTGGCTTTTGTTAAGTGCTGCTTAAGGAACTGGCCTGTACTCTGCTTGCATTTTACTGCATTTGAAGACTGATACTGTAATCAAGATGGGCTTTCAGAAAGCAATATAAGGAAATACCTTGATTTAAGGTTTACTTAAGGGCACTGAGGCTTTCTTATCTGGGTACGCTGTGTTTAACTTTAATCAGGGTTTAGAGCACCTTGAAAGTGGTGAGATCTCCAAGAACCAGCCAGTCTTGAAGAAAGAGGGGAGGGGAAAAAAAAGGTTATTTATACTTTAGTGAACATAGTTGAGCCCTGTCTCCTATCTCCCTTCTACTCGCAGCCTGCACTCCCCCCCCTACTCTCCCCCTTTCTGGTATTTCTGTTCTTCTAATCTACTGTCATGCTGGCTGAGGACTTAATTTCAAGAAAGGGGACTATCCAGGGGTGTAGGATGTACATGTTAGAGATGCTGCTTCTCCATCTGTTGCTTTGGGAGGAGACTCTTCACCTGCCTGGTAAGCTGGGACAGCAGCACTGTGTAACACGCTGCAGCTTGTCGTGTTCATCTCTTCCTCTGCTCTGTAGGAAAGGAGAGTAGCTGGGTGTGCGCATGACAAACAACCTTAGCTAAGGGCAAGAAAGGAGCTGCTTTATGACTCGGTCATGCTACAATTTGCAGGCGGGAGAGCCCTGATCACTTGCTCCAGGAGTCCCGGGCATCTTTTAAAATGGCTGTAGGACCTCTCTTAGCAGGGGGGCAGTTAAGTGGGGTCCTGTGCTGCTTGCTGCACTGTTCACTCTTTTACCTGGGGTTTTTAGCCTGTGTATCGGCGGGGGGGGAACAGGGCTGGGTATCTGCAATCGGCATGAAGGAACAGCTCAACGAGCAATTAATTTTCCTTCTTGTGTTGCTGGGCCATCACAGGTTAGACAGGAACAGGCCATTACATCATCCTGGCTGAAAGGAAAATACCTCAGCTCTTCTCTAGTCCCTAGGAGACAACCATCCCTTCTGGCACTGTGCGTCTGAAAAGGATCAGCTCTCCTGTTGGCCAGTGTTAAATTCTGAACCACTACTGTCAACGTAAAGAAAACATCCCGACTGATCAGGAGATAAAGACGCCGGCAGCAGTTACAATTTGGGATGTGTCTCATATAGTAGATGGGTAATAAATATACTTGCATGTGACAGAGATCCATTCATGGTCTTCTAGCTTAAGTCTGTGTGGGCAATCGTGAAGTCCAGCTGTTCCTGAGTTCATCTTCACAGTCCTAGGAGGACAAAAGCAGCACAATAACATGTGTAACCTTATCAGAAGCACCTCAAACGGAGGTTTACAACTACCTAAGCAGAAGGTGGACCAGTGCTAGCTGAGAGCAGAAGCCAGGTTCCAGTTGCAGAGGCGCATTGTATCCATTCAACAGATGCCTTTCAGGTCGAGTAATGGACGTACTGTGCTTTCGGACACTCCCCCACGCTGTTTTGCCAACCTTTCTATGTTCTGTTGGCTGAAGAGTTGCACACCACCACTCCCCCTGGACTCCATGCATTGCGTTCCCTCCCAAAACAAAGGGCTGACCCGATGCCAAGGAGCGAATCCGTCTCGAGAAACAGCTGGCCTGTGAGGGGGTGCTGACCCCAGGCCATCATCGGTTTTGCAATATTGATGAGGCTGGGGCCCGTGAAGCTGTTAGGAGGGTTTAAGTGATGTCTGCAATGCGCCCAGGTCTTTATATGCTAAGTATTGCTGTGTTTTTGTGTTCTGACTCAGTGTCCTTGAATTAAGCGCACGTATTCATGTGTATGGCGTGTATTATTTTAGATAGGAAAAGCTTAGTGCCTGTGTATGGAGAGTTAGTGTTTTCACTTTGTGCTTTTCCAGGATGCGGGCAGGAAACTTGAACTACCTGCAAAACATGAATTAAGGTCAGGAACACTTAAACCCCTTGAGGACTGCCCTAAGGGGAGCAGGCTGGATCTCAACGTGCCGCTGACCTGCAGGCACCCCCAGGCCCCTCGTACCTAGAGGTGGGCAGACCCAGAGGTGGGACAAAACCGGCAGGAACACCTAACGCGGGTCAGCTAGCGCTGAAATTATTCTGTGCTAACTTTCCCCTGTAAATGCTTTACCTGAAAAAGAAAAATGATGCCAAATAAGCGCTGCTTACTGTAGCTGTCCCTCTGTACTCCCTGAAGAAAAAAAAAAATCCCTTGTGCTGGCAGCTCCTCCTGTGCTCTCGGTGCTAGCAAGGAAGGCTGTAGGAAATAGGTGTTATGTACATCTGGCCATGGATCAGCGGGAAGCACTGCAGCAGTCGCTCAGGCTTTCAGATGTTGCTTCCCTGTGTTTCTTCTCCCCGAGGATGCTGCCCGAACTGCTGCTTTTGCTCACTGCCATCCACGCTCCCGTAACTCTGCTAGCTGTATCCTGCGCAGATTCAATGGAGAGCAAGCAGTTCAGTGCTGTAGTTTGGATCCGTGCGGTGCAGCATAAAAACGAGTGTCTTCTCCTACAACGTTCTTAAGCTACTGAGCCGCCTGTGGTAGCAGCCCTGGCTGTGGGGTGGCAGCAGAGCTGAGCTGTATTTTCCAAGTCTTCACCCCAGAGCTCACTTTCACGTTTATTTAATGCTGTTGAGTATTTTATTACGTTAGTTTAAAAACAAACAACCCCCCCCAACATAATTACCACATGCACCACTCAGAATCCTGCCTGATGACCTGTGTGCCCAGAGCAGCCCGCCTCCTCCTTCCTGTACGGGGGTATATTCGTGGGGCCTAAAAAGAAGGCTCTGCAGAAGAGCGCAGGAATTTTGGAGCAGAGCATTGGATGTTTTTGAAAGAAGACGCAGACAACCCTGTTCCCTAGCAGGATTTCCTGAAGACGTACCCAGCCTCTTCGCTGCGCTTCCTTCCCAGGTCTCTGACAGCGCTAAAACGGGGAGCGCCTCTCGCGGGTGAGTTTTGAGGCACGCGCTGCCTTGCAGCTTGGTGGAGTAGCTATCTAATAACTTGCCAGTCACCAGGAATCGGGATGAAAGTCTTGCAGGATTTCTTGTTGCCTTGTATAGGCATCCTGATAACGCAGTGTGCCAGCACTCGTTCGACTCCACTCCGAATGTGAAGCTGTCAACAGCTTCGTATGTGTTTACTTCCGTTGTTTCGAATGGGACTCACGTGACCAAGGTTTTAATCAGTACTGTATGGAGGACTTCTCTCAAGAAAACATCCCCCAGAGCACGTTTTGGAGTTTGAATGTTTCCAGGCTAGACATCCATATGTACATAGCAGTCCTTTCCCAGGGTGCTTAATTGCAGGATTCTGCAAGTCTTCCATCGGGGCACTGGGGCACACAGCTGAAATGGCCACTCGTTACTCACACAGCTCTTAAATCCTCCCTGGTTTGTTTCTATAATCAGGAAATCGATTGGTATCAGCTCTAATAGCTGGCCGCTGTGCTAATTTCCAGCTTGGCAGTGTTGGTGGGTAAAGATTTCCTTTAGCTACCGCAAGTACAGCTTGCACTTCCTGCAAATGGCTCCAGCTACTGCAACAAAAAGCTCTGGATCGGTTCCAGCGTTTGTTCTGTCCCTCGCATCCAAAATCGCTGGGGCAGGGCTCCCTTAGTTGGGCTCCGTGCTTCCTGGGCAGCCCCGAGTGATTCTGCTAGTTCTGTAAAAGGTCTGTT